AAAACTACACAGGGGACCCGGGAGATAGCTCAGTAGAACAAGCGCTTGTGGGTGGGGAGATGGCTCAGTGGAAAAGCCTGAGTTCAATCCCTGGTACCACCAAAAAAAAAAAAAAAAAAAGAAAAGAAAAGAAAGAAAGAAAGAAAGAAAGAAAGAAAGAAAGAAAGAAAGAAAGAAAAACTACACAAGGATTCCTTAAGCTTGAGTAAACTGCTAAATGAGACTTCCCTTGTCTCATTTAGGAAAGGAGAAGTTGCCTAGAAACATTTATTCCAGTGTTATTCACTAATAGGACCCCAATGATTTCCATAGCCTTATGAGAGACAAACCTCAATGAATATTGCTAAACATATTATTGTAATATGTTGCCAGGCATGGTGACACACACCTGTAATCCCAGCATTCAGGAGACTAAGGCAGAAGGATTGTTGCACATTCAAGACCAGTTTGGTCTACAGAGCGAGCTCAAGGCCAGCCTGAACTGTATAATGAGACCCTGTCTTAAAAAACTAGTTCCAATGGGGCCGGGGAGATGGCGCAGTGGAATAAGCACTTCCCTGGCAAGCACAAGGGCCTGAGTTCAATCCCCAGTTCCGCAAAACAAAACAAAACAAAACAAAAATAGTTCCAAAACAGTACAAAAAAATTAACATGATGAGCTTTTAAATATGGTTTATATTTGTGGGGTGTTTTTTTTTTTTCAATTTGGTAAGCAAATTTATTGTCTGACACAAAATAATGTCTTTAGGGTCAGTGGGTTTATATTTGTTGTTTTACATTGTTATGAACTACTTTAAATGTACTGCTGGGAAGCTGCTCTCTATAAATGATGCTGAGATGATGTCAGATTATAATTGTAAGACTATTTGTATATAATTAGAAAGTAACAAACTTACTTAGATCAATTTTTAATTCTCATTCAAGTTAAGTTGATGTAATACTAATAGCCTAAAAATATCTATTTTAAAACCAACAGAAGAGGGCTGCGGAGGTGTTGGTTGAAGGACGTTAGCTGCGGTGTTTCTGGAGAGATTGAAATCATGGCAGGTCCAGAACATGATGCCCAGTTCCAGTTCACTGGCATCAAAAAGTATTTCAACTCTTACACTCTCACAGGTAGAATGAATTGTGTACTGGCCACATATGGAGGCATTGCTATGCTTATCTTGTACTTCAAGTTAAGGTCTAAAAAAACGCCAGCTGTGAAAGCAGCATAAGTGGATTTTACAGTGTCTGACCTCATCTGTTAAGTCCCATGCCTGGAGGAGCTAATATCAACTCATCATGTAATACTCA